TCTTTAAAAATCACATTTTTTTATCACTTTTGGCTCCACCTTCCTACAGTTAGTACGAAATATCAAATATAAGTAGAATCTATTAATTAATACAATATTTGGTAAAATAAAAGAGGAAAATAATCATAGAATTAGTGACAAAAATGCAACCTATCAATTTTCCTCACACCTAAACCATACTTGTCCTCAAGCATGAGAACAACAAATCAAGCAACCAAAACCAAACAATAGCTATTGCTCAAATCTTCTATAGCCAAGATACAATTAAAACACATGTTAAGTATTTGTGGCAATTAGCAAGAAATATCTCTCCAGTTAGCTTTCAAGATCAAGGACTCTTTCAATTTATTACTAACTAATTTAAGATTGTAAACTATTCAACCAGCATTCATAAGCAAATGGTTCGACAATTACGCAGAATCTCAACATTAAAATTCATCGATCAGCAGGATAACAATTCATTCAAAACACTTTCATATTTTTCACTATTAGCACACTTTTTTTTTCTAAAATATCCCTACACTCGATTGAATTTTTTTTTTCTTCAGGGGGAATGTTTAGTCTTTAGCCATTTAAGTGTTTTGACGCGAACTCCGACATTGGCCAAATGAAGGAGCCCGGTTACTCAGCTTTTATTGCTAAAGGGCCACATACTCATAGTTATCGTCATTTTTTGATGCGAAAATCAACACTTGTGGTGAATACCTCCAGTTACTAGGCAACGATATTAGTGGAGTATAACCAGATACTATTCATAAATAAGTACTAAATTATAATTAAAAATCACACAAACCCGCTTCATTTCTTAAACATGGAGAGCAAAGATTAATAGCTAAACCAATTTACAAAAAAAAAATGCTAGACAAATATTTACAATATTTAGAGAAGTAAACCAAAAAGTGCAAAAGTCACAAAATCTCAAATATTCACCAAAGAGATACCCTTAAATTTAACCATGTCACACTTAACATTTTAGAGTGTAAAATCTAAGTAATAGAAAAATTTAAGACATCTAATTTACAAATATGCACAAAGATAGGCAAAAATAGGATAAAAATTGACAAAGTCAAATAAACACGCTACGAGGGTTTGTTTAAATTAGATCGTATGTTTTCCTGACATAAATCCAATTATGTCAGTTGCTATTGGGACGGAGATAATTAACAATTATGGATCCAACTACCCCTAACCAGCAAAATAACCTACGTGAATAATTAAATATTGCACACTATTCAATCATGCACAAAGGCTATAATAATTAAAAGCATAAAACATATAAATACCAATAAATGGAGGAAGCAATTAAAATAAATTCGATCTCACAATAATTGCCGAACCAAATATTCAGTTGTTCCCTTGACTAGAGAAGAAGATTAGTGGCTCATCCGAGAAGAAATTCTGCCAGCTTCCATGGAATCTGGCTGCAACTGATTTTTCATCCAAAACAAACGAAAGCAAGGCCAATTGAGAGGCGAAGCAGCCGTCCTCTCCCAAGAGTCACGATTCTTCCCCCCAAAAGAAAGGAAAACCTAAGTGACTTATTAACTACTAGTCTGCCACCACTAATTTCAAAAATTAAGGAATTGTTTAAGAAAACTATTATTAGTCAAATGAAAACCAAGTTTCCAGTCATGGTAATTGTTGACTCCTTCTAGTATTAATCACATGGGCCGGCCATCCTATCCTTTTCCTAATTTTTAGCTTTTTGAAACCAAATAGGCTTCCTCCTAATCTTCCGCCAATAATCCAAGTAGACACAACGTTGAATTGGGAAACTCCTGAAAAATCACATTTTTTATCACTTTTGGCTCCACCTTCCTACAGTTAGTACCAAATACCAAATATAAGTAGAATCTATTAATTAATACAATATTTGGTAACATAAAAGAGGAAAAATAATCATAGAATTAGTGACAAAAATGCAACCTATCAATTTTTCTCACACCTAAACCATACTTGTCCTCAAGCATGAGAACAACAAATCAAGCAATCAAAATCAAACAATAGCTATTGCTCAAATCTTCTATAGCCAAGATACAATTAAAACAAATGTTAAGTATTTGTGGCAATTTGCAAGAAATATCTCTCTAGTTAGCTTTCATGATCAAGGACTCTTTCAATTTATTACTAACTAATTTAAGAATGTAAAATATTCAACCAGCATGCATAAGCAAATGGTTCGACAATCAAGCAGAATCTCAACATTAAAATTCATCGATCAGCAGGATAACAATTCATTCAAAACACATTCGTATTTTTCACAATTTGCACACTTTTTTTCTAAAATATCCCCACACTTGATTGATTTTTTTTTCTTCAGGGGGAATGTTTAGTCTTTAGCCATTTAACTGTTTTGACGCGAACTCCGACATTGGCCAAATGAAGGAGCCCGGTTACTCAGCTTTTATCGCTAAAGGGCCACATACTCATAGTTATCGTCATTTTTTGATGCAAAAATCGACACTTGTGGTGAATACCTCCGGTTACTAGGCAACGATATTAGTGGAGTATAACCAGATACTATTCATAAATAAGTACTAAATTATAATTAAAAATCACACAAACCCGCTTCATTTCTTAAACATGGAGAGCAAAGATTAATAGCTAAACCAATTTTCAAAAAAAAAACGCTAGATAAATATTTACAATATTCAAAGAAGTAAACCAAAAAGTGCAAAAGTCACAAAATTTCAAATATTCACCAAAGAGATACCCTTAAATTTAACCATGTCACACTTAACATTTTAGAGTGTAAAATCTAAGTAATAGAAAAATGTAAGACATCTAATTTACAAATATGCACAAAGATAGGCAACAATTGGATAAAAATTGACAAAATCAAACAAACACGCTACGAGGGTTTGTTTAAATTAGATCGTATGTTTTCCTGACATAAATCCAATTATGCCAGTTGGTATTGGGACGGAGATAATTAACAATTATGGATCCAACTACCCCTAACTAACAAAATAACCTACGTGAATAATTAAATATTGCACACTATTAAATCATGCACAAAGGCTATAATAATTAAAAGCATAAAACATATAAATACCAATAAATGGAGGAAGCAATTAAAATAAATTCGATCTCACAGTAATTGCCGAACCAAATATTCACTTGTCCCATTGACTAGAAAAGAAGATTAGTGGCTCATCCTAGAAGAAATTCTGCCAGCCTCCATGGAATCTGGCTGCAACTGATTTTTCATCTAAAACAAACGAAAGCAAGGCCAATTGAGAGGCGAAGCGGCCGTCCTCTCCCATGAGTCACGGTTCTTCCCCCTAAAAGAAAGGAAAACCTAAGTGACTTATTAACTACTAGTCTGCCACCACTAATTTCAAAAATTAAGGAATTGTTTAAGAAAACTACTACTAGTGAAATGAAAACCAAGTTTCCAGTCATGGTAATTGTTTACTCCTTCTAGTATTAATCACATAGGCCGGCCATCCTATTCTTTTCCTAATTTTTAGCTTTTTGAAACCAAATAGGCTTCCTCCTAATCTTCTGCCAATAATCCATGTAGACTCAAATTTGAATTGGAAAACTCTTGAAGAATCACATTTTTTATCACTTTTGGCTCCCCCCTTTGTTGATCTTAATCCCTATCTTTTGATGTTTACAAAACAAATGGATGATACTAATATCTCTCCAAGAAATATTTTCAGTTATGAAGTTATGTGATTCCATGAACAAGTGCTATTGAAAGAAGACAAAGGTTGCTGAAAGCTGTCGGACGCTCAAAAAGACTGCATCGGACGTCCAACCACCATTGAGTATCTTCGGACACAGAAAACCAGCCTACCGGACGTCCTAAGGAATTGAAGAAAAATTCCCAGTTTTACATCATACCTTCGGACGCAGAAAACTAGCCTACCGGACGTCCGAAAGAATTGAAGAAAATCTCTTAAACTCTCTGCCTGCTATCGGACGCATAAAACAGGGCTATCTGACGTCCGACACTGCTAACGGATAGTTGACTGTTCAGCTACTTTCTATCCGTTGGAAGCATTTATGAGGCACTTTCTTGGCTCTATATAAATAGTGGTTGGTCAGATATTTCAAATAACTTTGGCACACTGAAGATACAAAAGATCTAGAGAGATTTTAGTGAGAAAATACTCTTCAAAGAAGATTTGTAGTCTTAGTGGTGTGAGATTCATTATAAGCTTTTCATTTGTGAGTGAATACTTCATGAGTGTAGCTCTGTGAGGGTTATCCGAGTGATAGTAAAACTTTCTTGCTTGACCAAGTGCGGCTTGGGGCGAGGAGGAAGTGATCCTTCCTTTGTACACAAGAGTGATTGTAATTCATCAACTTGAAGTAGCTGTTATGTCCTGGCAATATCCAAGAAGTTCAATTTTCGGTTGTGCCAAGCTGGCATCCAAGCTGGAGGTGTTGGTTGAAGAGTTCGTTAGAGGGAATCTTTTCTGTTAGTTGGTAGCTTATACGTGTATTGAGCAGAGTTGTATAAATAACCGAAAGGATGTATTGTTCGGTAGCTATTTGATCATTTGCATTCTAATTCCATTTCTGATCATCTTTTCAAACACCTTCTCTCTCACTCTCTCTCTTTCTCTCTCAAATCTGCTCATCTTCTTTCCTGCTATTCTCCTACAACTCCCTTGCTCAGGAAGTTAACCACAACAGTGGTATCAAAGCTGGTGGTCCTTGGACTATCAGCTGGAAACAATCATGGCCGAAGGAACTAGAATGAAGAGCTTCGAGGAACAATTGCGCAAACAGGAAGCGCGGATCCAAACCATTCTGGATTCCACAGCAACATTGGAAGAAAAGGTAGGATATACCTTCCAGGATATGAAGGCACTGCTGGAAGCCAATAGATTGGAAATGAAAACATTCATGACTGATATGAACAATCAATTCAGTACCTTCGTGAGGGGTGTGAATGGAGATAGGGGAATTCTGGGGAGCCCCAACCACAATCAAGGACTCAAGCCGGGAGGATGATAGAATGAGGAACTAGTGGGGGAGCAACGATGAGGAATCACTACACAGTAGCTGTTCCTAAATTGGAATTTCCCCAATTCAATGGGAACAACCCCAGAGAATGGATAAGGAAGTGCGAGAAGTTTTTTCACCTTTACAGAATCTCTGAGGAGAATCAGGTGGATATGACAGAGCTACACTTGGAAGGGCAAGCTGATCTATGGTGCCAGAACTTTAAAAGGAGCAAAGAAGGAGTGGCTTGGAGCGAATTCAAGGAGGAAATTTGTAGCAGATTCAAGGAATTGGGGGAGGATGATGTCATCGAGAAGTTCAACAAGCTACAACAGACCTCATCTGTACTAGCTTACCAGGAAAAGTTTGAGGAACTTAGAGCTTTGGTGTTGGCTAAGGTTCCTAATCTATCAGAATCATATTACGTGTCTTGCTTCTTGAGTGGACTGAAGAATGAAGTCAAGACTGCGGTTAAAATGTACAAACCAGACTCCCTGAAGTTAGCCTTTGAGAAGGCTAGGTGGCAAGAACATCTCTTGGAAGCACTCTCCAAAAACAATAGAGTGTCTTACAGGAATCCCCTGCCATCTAGTCTTAATGGGGGACATATTGGCGCCAATGGAAACAGAAGGATGCAACAAAACAATATCAAGGAAACAAAAAAAAGGAATGACTCTCAACCTGTCTTTAAGAAGATCTCACCTTCTGAGTTTCAGTACAGAAAGGACCATCACCTGTGTTTCAGATGTGGGGAAAAATTCTCCCCTGGTCATGCTTGTAAGAACAAGGAGCTTCACATGCTGCTGGTAGATGAGGAGGAATCAGATAAAGAGGAGGAAGAGGAGGTTATTGAGTACAGGGGTACTAAGGCAGACCAAGCAGTGGTATTGGCCCTACATTCGGTTTCAGGTGAGTTGTCATCAAGCACCATCAAAATGCAAGGAATATATGGTGAACACCAGCTATCAATTTTAGTGGATGGAGGTAGTACTAACTGTTTCATCAGACCTGCAGTTGCTCAGTTATACCCTGAGAAAGTAAGGAAACTTAAACCTTTCAAAGTCAAAATTGCAGATGGGAAGGTTTTGCGTTGTGATCAGTGGATACCTCAGATGAAGTGGGAGATCCAGGGCCATCAATTTGAGCATGATGTATATGTGTTGAATCTTGAACCTTATGACATGATAATTGGAGTTGATTGGATGAAAAAATTTAGTCCCCTGACATTTGATTTTAAAGCATTACAGATAACTTTTGACAATCAGGGAGAACAGGTCCTGTTGAAGGGGGATTCTGAGGCTACACAGGTGAAGCTCAGGAAAGGGGAGGCAGCTGGCAAAGTCATCAGGCACAAGATCAGGAAAGGTCTGCAACAATCTTGCATGGTGAAGGTCCACAACGGCCAGGTAACTAGTGTGCCTAACTCTCTTACTGATTTACTGGCTGAATATGAGGACATTTTCGCTGATCCTAAAACCTTGCCCCCATCTAGAGCTCATGACCGTGAGATACCTCTTAGAGCAGATGCTAGACCCTTCAAAATTGCTCCCTATAGGTACCCCCATTCCCAAAAGACAGAGATAGAAAGACAAATTAAGGAAATGTTAACCTCTGGTGTCATTCAGAACAGTCACAGCCCTTTTGCCTCTCCAGCCCTCTTGGTAAAAAAGAAAGATGGCAGTTGGAGACTCTGCATTGATTACAGACAATTGAACAGCTTGACCATCAAAGATAAATTTCCCATACCCATAATAGATGACCTTCTTGATGAGCTGCATGGAGCCAAAATTTTTTCTAAAATAGACCTCAGATCAGGTTATCACCAAATTCGAATGGCTCCTGCTGATATCCCAAAAACAGCTTTTAGGACACATTCTAGATTGTATGAGTTCCTTGTCATGTCTTTTGGGTTAACAAATGCCCCTGCCACCTTTCAAGCTCTAATAAATTCTGTATTCGAACCCTATATCAGGAAATTTGTCCTTGTGTTTTTTGATGACATCCTGATTTATAGCCCTGAGCTTCCCACTCATTTACACCACTTATCCCTAGTACTGAATACCCTCAGAACACACTCTCTTTATGCTAAATTGTCCAAATGCACTTTTGGCCAGAATCAAGTAGAGTATCTAGGCCACATAGTTACTGAGGCAGGTGTGAGTGCTGATCCAGCAAAGGTTGAGGCTATGCTTTCCTGGCCTGCTCCTACTAATGTCAAGGCATTGAGGGGATTCCTGGGATTGACAGGTTACTATAGGAGATTTGTGAAAGGTTATGGGGTGATTGCCAGACCTCTTACTGAGCTGCTCAAGAAGGGGCAATTCAGTTGGAGTACAGAAGTAGACCAAGCATTCCAAAAGTTAAAAGAAGCTATGAGTACTACACCAGTTTTGACTCTACCTGACTTTACTAAACCATTTGTTTTGGAAACGGATGCAAGCCAAGCTGCCATTGGGGCTGTTCTGATGCAACAAGGAAAGGCCATAGCCTACATGAGTCAAGTATTGGGTAAGAAGAATCAAACCTTGTCAATATATGAAAAAGAGCTGCTGTCGTTGATAACTGCAGTGCAGAAATGGAAACATTATCTGTTGGGTGGGCACTTTGTGATTAAAACTGATCATGAGAGCTTGAAGTATTTACTTGATCAGAAAATCACTACACCCTTACAGCAGAAGTGGTTGGCCAAGCTCATGGGAATGGATTATGAAATTCAATATAAAAGGGGAAGAGAGAATGTTGTGGCTGATGCTCTATCTAGGAAAGCAGAAGTAGTGGAAGGAGGGGAAGAAAATGTGATGGTGGAAGTGCATGCAGTATCAGCAGTTGCACCTCAGTGACTCTCTCTAGTTGTTGACAGTTACGTGGGTGATGATAGCACAAAGGAATTGGTGGTGGCCTTGACCACAGGTACCAACTCTCACCCTGAGTATACCTATCAGAAGGGAGTCATAAGGCATAAGGACAGAATTTTGGTAGGATCAGGATCTAACCTCAGGAAAAATTTGATTTCCTGTTTCCATGATACCTGTTGGGGTGGTCATTCTGGAATTCAAGGCACCTACCAGAGAATGAAGCCTTTCTTTTATTGGCCTAATATGAGGAAGGATATAGAGGTCCATGTGCAGAAATGCGATATTTACTGCAGGAGCAAGTCTGAAAATTGCCCATACCCTAGGCTGTTACAGCCCCTAGCCATACCAGACCAAGCTTGGCAGCAAATTTCAATGGACTTCATAGAGGGATTGCCTAAGTCTTTAGGCAGTGATGCCATCTACGTGGTAGTGGACAGGATGACTAAGTATGCACATTTCATTCCTATAACTTCTCACTACACTGCTAAGGGCATTGCAGAAGTTTTCTTTGACCAGATCTTCAAGCTCCATGGACTACCTGCTTGCATTGTGTCAGATAGGGACAGGGTTTTCACCAGCATTTTTTGGCAGGAGCTCTTCAAACTGCTAGGGACTAAACTCAGCTTCTCTTCTGTATACCATCCTCAATCTGATGGTCAGACGGAGAGGGTCAACAGATGTGTGGAGACTTACCTTAGGAGTATGTGCATGCAACAGCCAAGCAAGTGGAAGAAGTGGCTACCTACTGCAGAGTGGTGGTATAACACCAACTACCATACCAGTCTGCTAATGACCCCTTTCCAGGCCCTCTATGGGTACAAACCTTCACAACTCACTCTGTCACCTACGAACACACTAGCTGCTGCAGTGGAGGATTGGACCGGAGAAAGAGTGGATTGGAATACTTTACTTAAGGAAAATTTGTTGCAGGCACAGAATAGGATGAAACAACTAGCTGACAGGGGAAGGACTGATAGGCATTTTGAGGTAGGGGACTGGGTGTACCTGAAGCTACAGCCCTATAGACAAACTTCCGTCGCTTTGAGAAAAAATCTGAAGCTGTCTGCCAAGTATTATGGACCCTATCAGGTCGAGCAGAAGGTTGGATCTGTGGCTTATAAACTTAAGTTACCAGATGGATGTTCAGTGCACCCTGTGTTCCATGTTTCTCTCCTTAAGAAGTCTATCAATGGAAGTCAAATCCACCTTACACCCCCCCCACGCAACTGCAGAAGGAGAGTTTAGGGTAGTTCCCAAGGCCATTCTGGACCGGAGAGTTATATACAGGAAGGGGCAAGAGGTTGAGCAAGTGTTGATCGAGTGGGAAATTTTAGACATGGATGACTCCACTTGGGAGGATTGGTCCTTTATTCAAGGGCAATTTCCAGAACTGAATCCTAGAGACTAGGATTGTTTGAAGGGGAAGGCAATGTTATGTCCTGGCAATATCCAAGAAGTTCAATTTTCGGTTGTGCCAAGCTGTCATCCAAGCTGGAGGAGTTGGTTGAAGAGTTCGTTAGAGGGAATCTTTTCTGTTAGTTGGTAGCTTATGCGTGTATTGAGCAGAGTTGTATAAATAATCGAAAGGATGTATTGTTCGGTAGCTATTTGATCATTTGCATTCTAATTCCATTTCTGATCATCTTTTCAAACACCTTCTCTCTCACTCTCTCTCTTTCTCTCTCAAATCTGCTCATCTTCTTTCCTGCTATTTTCCTACAACTCCCTTGCTCAGGAAGTTAACCACAACAGTAGCTTGTTTGAATCAATCTACAAGCTCAAGAGGAGTTGGGTAGTTAATTGGTTTGCAATTCTTTCCTTTTTATTTACTTATTCTTACGTTTATGATCTTTAAATTTTTTATCTCTTCTACTCACAAGCACTTGTGCTTTCTTATCAACTGCTCCATTGTGTGGTCACCTAGAAAAAGGTTATTTTCGGGCCTTACAATTGGTATCAGAGTTTGGTCTCGTAGAGATTAAGCTCAATCGGCTTTGGAGTAAAGATGACAACCAACAATGCTATATTTTTTGAAGGACATTCTGTCATTAGACCACCTATGTTTAATGGGTCAAATTATGTGAGTTGGAAAGAAAGAAGGATTATCTTTTTGCAATCTATTGATATTGAACTGTGGTTTATCATTAGTGAAGGTCCATATGATGCCTCTCTTATAGATGAAAATACTCAGAGATCTAGACCAAAAACAAGAAGTGAATTGACTGCTATAGATAGAACTCATCTCACCTTAAATGCAAAAGCCATGAATGTGTTATATTGTACTTTAGACTCAAATGAATCTATTAGAGTCAAAGGCTGCAAGTCAGCCAAGGAAATTTGAGATAAACTGAGAGAAATTCATGAAGGTAGTGAGAATGTTAGAGAACAAAAGAAGTCCATTCTAGTTACAAAGTATGAATCTTTCAAGATGCAACCTCATGAAAATATTGATGAAATGTATTGTAGATTCAATGATCTCATTAAAGATTTAGAGGTGCTGGAAAAAGAATATTCTCTAGGTGAGAAAAATAGAAAAATTCTGAATGCCTTGTCCAATGATTGGGAAAATAAAGTGACTGCTATTGAGGAGGCTAAAGATTTGAATACTATGCCTATTGAATCTCTTATTAATTCTCTTACCTCTTATGAGCTGAAACTTAAGACTAAGGTGCAAGAGAAAGAGGGTGCAAAAGTGCGAAAAAATATTGCTCTAAAAGCCTCACAAGATGAAGATGATTCTGCCTCCCTAGATGAAGAAGATGTGGAAGGTGATGACAATGATATCGCACTCATCACAAGAAGTTTCAAATGAATACTCAATAAGAGGAGATTTAGAAAAGGTGGACCTAGCAATTCATTCCCAAATTAGTTCAACAACTCGAGAAATAAAGGGAAGCTAGAGTTCAACAAAAGGCAAACTGATAAGTGTTTTGAATGCGGCCAACCTGGACACTATGCAAGTGAGTGTCCAATGGTGAAGAAGAATGAAGGAAGAAAACCAAGATTCAACAAATTTCAATTCACATGGAATGAGTGCAACTCCGATGGTGAAATTGAAGAGGATGAAGAATCTGCTCAATTGGCTTTTATGGCCATTGGAGATGATGAGGTAACATCTTCTAACTCTCAATTTGAAAGTGATGATGAAACTGATGATGATATTGAATCTTTCATTATAAAATTGCATGATAGTTTGAAAGAATCCTATGTTAGAAACAAGGAGTTAAAATAGAAAATTAGTTTTTTGTTTCGAGATAATGCAAATCTTTTTCAACAAAATAAAAAGTTGATTGCTGAAAATGATTACTTCAAAAAGAGTGAGATTGCTTTACACTTTGAGCTTGATAGAAAAACAAAGCTTTGTGAATTGTTCAAAAAGGAACAAGGTGATTTGAAAAGAAGAATGGATGGTCTAAATGAGTTGCTTAAATACAAGAAACAAGTCTGTTTTCAAAAGAATAGGTTGAATTCTAATTCCAATGAATTTGCTATCCATAGGAGAAGACAAGTAAGATTTATTAAACATGTTCATGTTAATAAATCTTTGGTTATGTGTAATTTTTGTTGTCAAAAATGTCACATGAAAAGTGATTGTTATGTGAGAAAGAATATGAGAAGAGGCATGAAATACATGTGGATAGTTAGACATGATGCTAACTTTAACAAGTAGGAGATTTTGTTAATCATTGCAGTGATTCTTGTTCACATTATTTTTTTCTTTTGATATTTCTGATACTTTGATCTGACTTTTCGCTGATATTTTTGAATACTACCGAATCTGTATGATGTCAAAAAGAGAGAGAAAAGAACTATTCTGATCTAACGACGATTTGCTAATCTCTATGTGATATGTTGGTATTGCTGAATTCTGGTATCAATTCTCTATTATTGTTGGTGGATTATGGTTGCTGGTTATTACTCTCATCTTATGATGACAAAAAGGGGGAGAGATGGATGCAATGTGCAAGGGGGAGTTATTCTGAGATTATGAGTTTGGCTCTTAAAAGTTTTGGTTGCGATGATTGAGGGGGAGCTTATATTTATTTTTGTTTCTTTCCATCCATTGTTTTGTCATCATCAAAAAGGGGAAGAATGTTGATCTTAATCCCTATCTTTTGATGTTTACAAAATAAATGGATGATACTAATATCTCTCCAAGAAATATTTTCAGTTATGAAGTTATGTGATTCCATGAACAAGTGCTATTGAAAGAAGACAAAGGTTGCTGAAAGCTGTCGGACGCTCAAAAAGACTGCATCGGACGTCCAACAACCATTGAGTATTTTCGGACACAGAAAACCAGCCTACCGGACGTCCTAAGGAATTGAAGAAAAATTTCCAGTTTTACATCATACCTTCGAACCCAGAAAACTAGCCTACCGGACGTCCGAAAAAATTGAAGAAAATCTCTTAAACTCTCTGCCTGCTATCGGACGCATAAAACAGGGATATCGGACGTCCGACACTGCTAACGGATAGTTGACTGTTCAGCTACTTTCTATCCGTTGGAAGCATTTATGAGGCACTTTCTTGGCTCTATATAAATAGTGGTTGGTCAGATATTTCAAATTACTTTGGCACACTAAAGATACAAAAGATCTAGAGAGATTTTAGTGAGAAAATACTCTTCAAAGAAGATTTGTAGTCCTAATGGTGTGAGGTTCATTGTAAGCTTTTCATTTGTGAGTGAATACTTCATGAGTGTAGATCTGTGAGGGTTATCCGAGTGATAGTAAAACTTTCTTGCTTGACCAAGTGCGGCTTGGGGCGAGGAGGAAGTGATCATTCCTTTGTATACAAGAGTGATTGTAATTCATCAACTTGAAGTAGTTTGTTTGAATCAATCTACAAGCTCAAGAGGAGTTGGGTAGTTAATTGGTTTGCAATTCTTTCCTTGTTATTTACTTATTCTTACGTTTATTATCTTTAAATTGTTTATCTCTTCTACTCACAAGCACTTGTGCTTTCTTATCAACTGGTCCATT